TCGGCCTGTGAGTTTAGGTGGACGGCCTTGTCTTGGTAGGTTTACAGTTGTGCCATACTCCTTCCATTTCTGAATGATCACTTGAACAGTGCTCCGTGGGATGTTCAAGGCTTGGGAAATATTTTTGTAGCCTAAGCCTGCTTTCAGTTTCTCAATAACTTTATCCCTGACCTGTCTGGTGTGTTCTTTGGACTTCATGGTGTTGTTGCTCCCATATTCTCTTAGACAACCTCTGAGGCCGTCACAGAGCAGCTGTATTTGTACTGACGTTAGATTACACACAGGGGCACTCTATTTAGTCATTAGCACTCATCAGGCAATGTCTATGAGCAACTGACTGCACTCAGACCAACGGGGGCTGAATAATTACGCACACCCCACTTTTCAGTTATTTATTTGTAAAAAATGTTTGGAATCATGTATGATTTTCGTTCCACTTCTCACGTGTACACCACTTTGTATCGGTCTTTCATGTGGAATTCTAATAAAATTGATTCATGTTTGTGGCTGTAATGTGACAAAATGTGGGAAAGTTCAAGGGGGCCGAATACTTTTGCAAGCCACTGTAGTTTCAGTTAAATCACTAAATGAATGTAACTGTAATCAGAGTTACTGTTTGCCAACTTGTGCGCAAACACAAACTACTTGGTTAAATAGCAGTGAAACTGTTAAAAGTGCGGAAAACAGGAAATGAAAATTGCTCGCCTTCAAAGTAAAAGTTGCGCTGTCTGAAATGTGCTGATTGATGACGGTCACAAATTTCAGTGTGTGGGGCACTTTTTCAAGTTTCACTACAGCTTAGAGATTAAAGGGTATGTTTTCAGACAAAGTGCCATCTTCCATGTAAATTACAATTGACTACACACAGCAGCAGACACCTCCAGTCGCCAATCAGAGGCTGGCAAAGGTTTAACCAACCAGTCTCTGGGCGTGGGTGACTGAGACATAACATCGCTGTAGAAAGTAAAGCTTGTTCAGCAGCAGTGATGACATTCAAATACTTTTTAGGAGGAATTACACCTTAAGAAGAATTTGTTATAATTGCATTACTCACTGTATTTTTAGCACAATAATAAATCTTTACAGATTAATAGTAACTATCCTAACACTGTGGATAATGCAAGGAGGAAACACTGGGAGCTTTCTTGGGAATTTAAATGTTAGCTGCTGCCCTGCTGTACAAGCCAAGACTTGCATAGTGATTGATGCAAGCCTGTGTTGTGTCCAGCATGGGCATTGTGATTTCCTTTCTGACTGCAAAGAGAGGCCAATCAATCAGCTGTGAAATCCTGACCAGTGGTTAAACACAGGAAAGCATCCTTTGTTTCCTCGCAGATCAATCACAGAGATTTGACATTTTCAGGCTTAAGGCTACGTATGTGCTCTGTCACAGTTGCTGTCACAAGCATTAGCTCACCCCCAAATGTATAAGAATTCAGGCATTTGGGAGACAGTATTTCATGCTTTGCACATACTCTGCTTAGCCTGAAAGAAGTGACACAGCTAATAATAATGATAGCAGTCAATTTTTAGAAAGCACAGATGAGCTGTAAAGCTTGAGGTATTAATAGTCAGTTGAATTTATATGGACATGAATGAACCCAGCCCCTTGCTCATTATGTTTTTTTCTAGACTCAAAGAGAACAACATGTACAATCTGAATAATATATTAAAGCTTTTTCAAAGAAAATTAAATCCAAGATAAAGGAAAGATATCTTCTAGGAAGGGGTGACTGTGGCTCAGGTGGCAGAGCAGATCAGCTACTGATTGGAAGGTTGGTGGTTCAATTCCTGGCTCCCCCAGTCTGCATGCCAAATATCCTTGGGCAAGATACTAACCCCAAATTGCCTTCATTTTCATTGGAGTGTGAATGTTTATTAGTTGCACTTGAGTTTAGAAGTGCTTGTATGAGTGGGGGTGAATGAGGCATGTTGTATGCAATGCTTTGAGTACTCCAGGAGAGTAGATGTATAAGAATCAGTCCATTTACCATATCTTCCTACTGCTTGTTGGGTTACATGCATTGTTTAGGGTTATGAGCAGGTCGGGCAAAGTATTGTCTCCATGTGACATATTTCTGCTGATCCCAGGGAAAAAGTTACTGTGCAGCAACATGGGAGGAAATGCTTTTAATCTGGCACCACAAATATTAGTACGCAACTCCTGATGTTTTTGACAGCAACACCGAGCAGCCCTTACCCTACTTAGATCAGCAACTGCTATTAAAAAAGTGAAATTTGGTAGACATTTAAATAACAAAACTGAAATGCCTGTGTGACTGTCAACTCTGAATTTCAGTTCCAATTTTGCCATCTTAAACAGTCCCTAGTTAACAATGACAAGCCAGGATTCAACCACACGGTTAGGCTTTCATAATATCTTTAAAGAAAACACACACACATGCACACACACGCACACATTTTACCTGCCTCAAGAGTATGAAATTTACATTTAAGCTCTTCAGCTCAGAAGCTGCACCTTGCTACTTTGCTGAGACATCTGATATGCCCTAATTGCGTCAAATCTATTTTAACCTAGCCTTTTTGTATGATGACTTTACTGGCTCATGGGCTCATGGTCACTGCATCCATCCTGCATTTCAACTGATGGAAGCTGGCACTGCACCACCAATATTACATCGAGGCTCTCAGCGTGAGCCGCCGGACGGTTGGGCTTTTAGTGAGTCTTTGGCCTTTTGTTCTCCCGTGCCCTTCCCACTCTGCCATTTCCGCCCATCAGGATTTGACAATGTCAGACAAATACACTTGAAGGTAAAAGTAGTAAGACTCGCGCAGCAACAAAAATGCTTTGGAATATGTCACTCAAAAGAAGAGGTCACATTGAAGACCACCATCCTTCTAGAAAGATCCAAAGAAAAGCGGAAATGAAGGCTGTCTTGTCAGAGACTAAATGCCATGAAAATGTCAGAGCCGTACCTTTTCTCGCAGGGGTCTTTTAAAAAAAACATGAAACTTTCTAAAAATTCCAATGTTTATTAGCAAAATCTAAATTATATATGTTAAATAAAATTCCCAGTCTACCAATAACATTTCTGAAAACATGACAAAGGCTGGCTCTAACTTGTTCACTGGAGAGCTAATATTCAACGTTCTACTTGGCAAATGTTAGTTTTACAATTAAATATGCTCAAATATGCTTCTTCGGTCTCAGTAGTATCCATGGTATTTTGACTGCACATACTGCAACCGCTGAGATTGTGCAATAAAGGTTTGGCGAACAGAATTCAGAAAATATATAGTTTTCTTGTTAAAGTTTAATTTATGCAGCCCCTGCAATTAGTAAGGGAAGTAAAAAGGCCTTAAAAGTTTAAATTCCTCCAACCGAGGCAGATCAAAGAACAGCCGTGTCCGTGTGGTTTTTTTGATGAAATTGGTTTTGCTCATAAAACACATCAGGTGCTTAATAAACAATACTTTTATAGAATAAACTCCCTGCTTTAAAGGGAAGCCGTGTAGATGACTTGGCAGTATTCATACACTGCCAAATAACCATAATAACCAAACACAGCAAACAATATCCCCCTTTGTATGAATGGAGACAAAGTATGAAAGCTGTGTAGAGTAAGGATATGAAATGCTGTGAAATAGCAGCTGATTTGCTAAATTCTTCAAACTTGTCATGAGCACTTTGGCCTTCCTCATCACTCTGTCCTATTTTCTGTCTCGGTCCAGTTCCAGGTCAGTGGTCACAAGTCATACCTAATTCATTTCATTTTCTTACTCCATAATTATTTTTTCTTGCCATGTTCTCGCTGCTCTGATCTGAAGTGAGTATAATACACGAAAAGTTGCTTTGAAATGCTTTAGGAAAAAAGGATTTACGATAGGTATTTGTGCAAAGAGGAAGATGCTGATGCCAAAAAGTAGTTTATACAGCAGGCAAACCTATTTTAGTAGCAAAAGTAGACAGCAGTCACTGCACTGGACTTACATATTCCCTTGAGACGCCTGTGTAGTTTGTCTATTGTGTCACATTCTTTGCATTGCTGCAGCAAAGTACTTTGATTCCTGTGGTATTATGTCTAATCTAAATAAATCATTCTTTTTTTAACCTACTTGATCTCCAACAAACCAGCAGGGATTAACATTAATGAAAGAAACATAGACAAAGACAATTACTGTAGATGTTGAGGATGCAATGAAAGAGGAATTATATATTCAGCTGCAGTACTTCCCGAGGATGTGAAGTGACATTTTAATTACATCACTGATGAAGATAAATCAGGTTCTTGTTTACTGTTGTCCTCTGTGGTCTTGCTTTTGTAATAAAACTCTTGTTACATTAGTTATTTCAATAATCAGAAGCAGTACTTTGGAATACCAAATATGCTACCTTAAAAATATGATTTTAACATCTATATGATAATTCAGAGATAAGTACTTTAGCATCTATTGGAGCCAGCAAAAAAAGAATACACTCAGTCCACTCCATAGGGAGTGAATACAATGTACATCAAGACTGATGCTAATGGCATGTATTTATGGATGCACTGCATTAACTCTAGAATAAGCATATTGGAATTGCTATGGATTAATGGTGCTTTTAAGTAAATGGATTGTAAAATCAGCACTCACACACAAGGAAAAAAAACACCCTGAGAAATATGATAAAGGCTCAGGTATCCACCATATTTCATTTCCACTGAAAAACAGTCATGCAAAAGCAATCAGTGGACCAAATTGGACTGTGAGCTCAATCTCAAAACTCTGTACTAGACAAAGACAAGACATTTCTCAGATTCACACTATTAGAGGAAGTTTAAATAGGACTGCCTTATGAAGTGAAATGCTAAATGATGTAATCATGACTGTTTCTGGCCCGGCATGAGCAGGGAATCAATGCAGGAATTAGACTCAGGAGTAATGAAGGAAGGACGAGGCTTGGCTCGTTCCATTTCTCTATCTCCCGCTCTACACACACACACTTGCATGAAAACAAATGAATGGAAATCACGTTACCAAGCATAAAAAATTCCCACCTGCTGAAGTTGGTTCCTCACCATCTGCTGCTGTTGAGACACAAAGGAGAAAAAGGGGGGAAAGGGAAGAGAGAAAATTCCTATTAGCTTCATCACAACTATGTATTTAATGCCGCAGCTGTATTGCAACAGATTCGGCTGTACTGATAATTACATTTTGTGCTATCATATGCAAAGTTTTATTTAAGTGTAATTCCCTTGAGCACACAGTATGTGAAGGCAGACACACCTGCTACCTGTAGGGTACAATATCCTGCCAACAGACATGCTCTCCAGTGCTGCCATGAAACCTAACCTGGCACAGTGGAACATCTGATGCCCCATCAATACACGTGTCCTGGTCTGTTACCTTTCCCTAATATGTGTTCATCATTCTGGACCAATGTAGGATTAGCCCCTGTGGCATACTTACTTACTAGCTGCATCCCTGGCTCCCAAGACCCAGTCCAGCTTTGTGGCTTAGATTTGGCCTGTCTGCTAGCATTACCACAACCCTCTGTCTCCATCATTAGTTTTGAAATTGGTCCAAAAGTTGGGCACAGATGCAGAGGCAGTCAACCAAGGGCATCAGATTCAAGGATGATAAATATGATTGTCATTATTATTGGGGATGAACAGAATGTGTAACCAGAAATGGATGGATGGACAAACGAGGCCTGAATGTATTGAGATTTGCTGCTGTACAGAGCATATTAAGTATGCGTGTCTATTATTTCTCAATAGCTAATGATGTTGCTTACCAATTCTTGCTTAATTAAAGTATGATTCAATGTCATGAGCATTTTTTTCATCCACAGCACTGAATACTAATTAGACATTAACATATGGAGAGGGTGAAGCCTGCATAAGCAGAAAAGCAGACATAGAGTGCCTGCATTGCACACAGGTGCAAATATATACAAAACCATCTGAGAAATCTGTTTCATTTCCAGCCACAACACACAGAACCATTTGGAGACCAGATTTTATTCTTTTTATAAACCAAACATCAGCGCTCTGTCAGGTTCTGCTCCCTGTGGTGTTTTTGGATGCGGAAATCAAATAAAGTGCTCTCGGGGGATTTTAAATAAGTTTTCTTTTTATTTATTTTATTCAACACATCTCCTAAATGTCTAGCAAATTATTTAGTGGATCACTAGATGTGGTACTCTTTAGACAGAAATATACGATTGGAATCAAGGCAGCAGCATCTGTAAACTGAAGGGAAAAATGATTCACTTAGTCATAAATGTGATAAACAGATACAATTAAAGAGTGAACCACAGCCTTTAATGCTGCTTTGACTGTGAGAGAAAGCTTCAACTGAAGCCACACAGAGTCAAAGCCAAGCACTTTCTCAACCTCTCATCTGCCTGGCAGCAGAAGCTCTCCTTTGTGTTTTACCATGCGCACGGGCCAATGTAATCCCCAAACCGAGCGCATTCCACGGTTCACTTAGTGTGGTTTTCTTTCTGCTCCCGTTTTCTCTTCAGCCTCACCATAAGGGTCAAGACGCACACTTGCAAGCCCTCAGACACAGTTTTGTGTGTGTGCACACGCATGTGCACACACACAAAACTGCACACTTGATAAAGGCAAAAAAAACCCCAACAACATATGCCTCAGAGTGCAGACAACTATTCACACCCACACATAAATACACATGCTGAGAAGACAGAGATGCATAAAAGGATGGGTTTTATGTTTATCCAAGTGTTGAAGTGGTGAATCATAAGAGTGCATAAAATATTGAAAGTACAGTGGGTTGGCAAAATTTATGTCTCTAATTGTTGGTGTTCTCCATAAAAATAACAAAACACCCAGTGTTAGCTGAATCACATAGCTTATTTCCCACAGCAGTGAGCATCGGGATAAACTGTGGACAAAAAATAGACTATCGGTTTAAATAAACAATAAAAATATGTATTAAAGATTACCTACACGTTCAGCTAGACTAAAATGGTGAAAGTGCAAAGTTTTGACTGGGAAACCGAGGTGGAGTCACTTTTGTTGTTGTCAGATTATTCGCTGACTTCCTGAAATCAGTAGCAGCAGAGATGCTGTGCATTAATGCTGAACCTCTTAGAGAGGGAGTCTGAATTGATGGTATGCATTTTGATGCATGTGAGGTCTGATTGTGACGTGTTTAATGCCAACAGTAAATTATTGGCATCATAATGGTTGTCTTCTTATCATGAATTCTACCCAGATAGGCATTGTTTCAATAAATATCATTCTTAACCACAACTTAAAAACTGTTACTAACATTCTTGAGAAAGTGCCTCTAATTTTATGCTAAAATGTTAAAACAAAGTCATCAGATGAAATCTCTACAACAGAAAACAAAGAATTGCTGTATGGTGATTCAAAAATGACTGACAAACTGAATGTTGATATATTTTCTATTCATAAAATCCTTCAAATCCAACAAATCTTGTCAAAAGCTGTCATTAGAGCCTTACCAGAGTATTCCCTCCATTGGCTGGATCTATTAAAAATCTATTGGTTCGTCTATATCAAAAGTGGTAAAAACACAGCTGTTCTGCTAGCCAGCAAGCTATAAATATTACGTGGGTCATTCTACAGTATGGCTTATTGTCAGTTCTTCCCATATGAAGACACAAAAATACATTGCATGCACACAGTTAACTTTTTGAAAGTGTGTGTTTCGCCTTCCCATGCACTCCTTTCGCTGTCTTGTCTTTCTCCTCCCTGAACCTGGTATTATATTTGTTTACTGCAGGAGCAAACACAGGAATGGACAACAGTGTAATTCTTGTGGTATAGTCCTATATTATTGAGACAAATCCATAAAGTAAACTGACAGACAAGGGCAATACCAAGCATATTGGTGTACAATAAATACTTGATGCATTGATATTTCTTCAGACCACATTAATAAATTTGTAGAACATGGAAGGTTCTGGAGATGGCTTATTTAAATGGCCCCTCCTTTTTACCAGGAGAAGGTACTCTCTATGAGATGATAAGCCTCTATCCCGGGACATATTGGTTTAATCTGACTGACAGCCAGGAGGCTGTAATAACCATCCATAATCTAAATAGGAACCAGTCAGGCTTTCCTGAATTGATATGACCTCAAGGTGTTCAGTGGAGATAGAGGAGCAAGTGCACAAGATGAACAAGCATAAAAACTATGCAGAACATGCATACTGTACATACACATTCATATAAGGGTGAAGATACCCCTTTATATATTAAACAATAGGGTTCACCAATTTTTTTACCACGATGGGTAAATATGTACACAGTACACTCACATTCCTTAATATGATAAGCCATTTTGATTTAGTAACTTTGTTTGCAAGAAGCATTTAAATCAATGACTGACCAACAGAAATCAGCTAGTACAGTTTAGTTAGTAGAATTAAATGGCTGTGAGCTTTAGTATTTACAGCTTGTTTTACACACATAAACGTATCCACGAAAACCTTGAGGGTTATGCAATGTGGACCAAAAGAATGCCAACAGTACGTAGCCTGTTCAGCAATAATGCACATGGGTCACTGAAGGCTGAGAATTATAACAATGATGTGAAATACATTCTGTGGCCTTCACAGTCACTCAGTCTGATTCACGAAGAATTTCACCCCTTTAGTTGAGTTCACTAGAAAATGTAAAGTTAAAACACAAACTGGCCCTGTTCCAGTTCCACATAACAGAAGGCGAAAGTGTTATTCTGAATTTTTATTTACTTTTTTTAATGTTAACATGTAAGTAAAAGTCACATCTGCAATGTCCCAAAGTTCTACACTTGTGCCAAAAATGAAAGGCATTTCTAACACCACGTTCCACAAGATGGAAAGTAAATAATGCCTTCTAAAGTCCTGGCACGTCCAAAGCAGGAAATCCATGAACTCGTGACTTCATTTTTGCACTCTTCTTTTTGTCAGCAAGTAAGCCCTTTACATCTATTTATTATTCTATTCTTCTTCTATTCTCTGTGTACAGAGAATTTTACTGCAGCCAAATTCCCAATTGAATGTCTTCTAACACACAGCAGAGCAAGTGTAACATACTGACTGATGCACTCTCCATTAAGGTTCATTGTTAACCAGCAGTCATTTTCCAGAAACTGCTGCTGAGCAAACGTCTAAAACAAAAAGCAAAGAAACAGAGAATTATTTGTCTGTTAGGCTTAATGTGAATCAATAAATACATTTGGACTTTGAGTGGGGCTAGGTTGCATGAAATATTTAATGTATTTCAGTGTTTTTTCCTAACCATTACCATTAACCTTATAACCCTACAACACTTCAATACTAAAGACAGCGTTATTGTTTTGATGTACCTGCATTTGTCAGGGTAAGGGGTTAACACAATGATTGCACTGTTATTATGATAGCAGTGCATTACACAGTCGTGGGAGCCACCGACTGTTTTATGCTGTTGTGTTGACACTGACCCTCACTGGTGCTTTGTATCCTGGAAAGGTTGTGTAGGAACCTCATTTTGATGGTAGTTTTTTACAAGGATATCCAGCGGGTGTTTGAGTGGATGCCCCTTACATCAGTAAGGCAAATTACTATCCAGTTTTTTTAAGAGATAACAAGCTAATGGAGAAGTTTGATCTGATTCAGTAGGTTGCCTTTCAGCTATACCTAGTGTGACCTACTGCAAACTTTTTTAGTGCTTAATTAGGGCTGATCAACTGAAAACCCAATAACGTTAACCAGAAAGAGGTAAACCCGAGTTCTGTCGAAAATAAAGGCTCTGTAAAGGTTATCACTCTCACTGTCATGGCCAGTGAAGCCATGGCAAAGTCGAAAAACGATCCGGGTAATGGATCGTATTCCCATTTAGCAGTGTAGCATCAAATATGACAGTCGGCTGTCAGTGCTAATGATGGCAGCCCAGACACCTCCTTGCTGGAGCTGACAAATCCTGTTTCTGTGTGCCAAGTAGCTCTACTGTAGTTATCTCAAGCAGTAAAACTTTTGTTAGAGTTCCCATGCTTCTTCTCAACATTTGGTGGTAAGTAGGAGATATGCTCAGCCTTAATTAGCATACAGTAGCTTAAAAAAAAAGAT